GGACATTCACTCCTGGAAGAGTTATCATGGGGAAATGTGTTTCAAATGAAGCTTTCTAACCTATCCTTGTTTCCACAACAAGCCAAATTTTTCAAAATCCAATTATCACAGGGACAGAAAGTGAGATGGATTTTTCTGAACAGGGAAAAGACAGGGCAAACACAGACAGCAAAAGAAACACCACAGGGGTAGTAACCCTTCCAAAAGCTAAAAACAGATATTTTTGGCTGGAGTTATATTTTAAAAATATACCTGTTCTGACTTACATACAGATTCAAGAACTAAGCTATAGAACCTATCTTATTCATAACTTGGAAACTTCCTGGATGCATTCTCACAAGTGGAATTGGGTGGAGAAGTTCCTCATGCACACTTAATGTGTTATTTGCTATAAATTGAAAACAATGTAGAACTCTTAAGATATTACAAATATAACATGTTGGTATCTACAAGAAGGAGCCACCGGTGGCACAGTGGGTTAAAGCCCTGTGCCGGCAGGACTGAAGGCCAACAGGTCGCAGGTTCGAATCCGGGGAGAGGCGGATGAGCTCCCTCTATCAGCTCCAGCTCCTCATGCGGGGACATGAGAGAAGCCTCCCACAAGGATGATAAAAACATCAAATCATCCGGGCGTCCCCTGGGCAACGTCCTTGCAGACGGCCAATTCTCTCACACCAGAAGCAACTTGCTCCTGACACAACCAAAAAAAAAAAATCTACAAGAAACATCTAGCAATGTTATTGAGAGCTTGGTCATCCTATAAAAATGGGAGTTAAATCTCAGAAGCAGTGAACATGAGAGAAATGATACACTGAAAGGGGAGATGGTAGTCCATGTACCAATGGCATGTTCCTGATCTGACAAACTATTGAGATAATATGTAACTAAGCATGCTTGTTAGTAGCTGAATGAAAATTACCAAAGACACATTTTAAAGCAAATGACTACTTAAGTAAGAGCTGGTCATTTGTTTTGCAAAGTCTTTAATGCTCCATAAAGTATATAAAGGCAAACTGTTGAATCCTGAACATATCCTACTCATAAACATCCCTTTTGACATATGAATACAATCTCTTGAATGTCCGTATCATTACAAATACAGAAATATATAGGGTAGAATCAAGGTATATCCAGTGTATGTAAACCTGAAGTCAGAATCTGAAAAATACAAACATAAGAGCTGGAAGGGAACACAAGGACCATCCAGTCCATACCACTACAATGCAGTCAGAGAGCGCTAACTGAATTTTCAACAGCACATTTTCATTTTTTTTTCCTTTCCACAAACTCATAGTCACACTATGGAAACACTTTTTATCAATCGCTAATTTTCTTTTCTACCATTATGGCAATGCATTGCTTAAAAGGGAAGTGGTCTATAGCACTGTTTTATTAGTTCGCAGAATGGATTTATTTACATTAAGATACATGAAATCATTGAGGGAAAAACTAATGAAAACCAGTGAATTAAATAAAATTTCACTTAATTTATTTATTTATTTATTTATTTACTGTGCTTATATACCGCAATTCTCGGCCCCCAAGGGCGACTCATTGCGGTGTACAACATGACAAAAAACAAGTGCAATCTACAGAGCATAGTGCAAAACAGTGTACAATTCATCATAATCATAAAAACATCTTAACAAATTTATTACTACATTCCGAATCGTCTCATCGTCAAGCCACAATCCGATCTCATTTCCGGTGTTCCATTCCTATGGTCAATTGCCAGTCATTGCACTATTGATCAAATGCCTTCTTAAATAGCCAGGTCTTTAGCTTCCTGCGGAATATTAGCAGGGAGGGGGCTAGCCTGATGTCCACGGGAAGGGTGTTCCACAGCCGAGGAGCCACCACCGAGAAGGCCCTATCTCTCATCCCCACCAGCTGTGCCTGTGAGGCAGGTGGAATCGAGAGCAGGGCCTCCCCGGAAGATCTCAAAGTCCTCGAGGGCTCATGTTTGAAATGTAATCAATGAAATATGTTTTGTTTACTAATCAGGACAGTAAATTAAAACATTCAGGAGAATAATAAAAAGAAACATTTTATTTATTTATTTATTTAATGCATTTGTTGACCGCCGCTCTCAGCCCTAGGGCGACTCGCGGCGGTGTACAACATATAAAAACAGTTTACAAAGAGCACAGAGTACATCAACAAACCATATAACACACTTAATCTAAATTACACTAACTAATCTGCACTGTCACAACATAAGGATCTACCAGTCTCATAATCCGTATTCCGTTCCGATTGTCATTGTCAATTAGTCTGGCACTAGTTAAATGCCTTCTCGAAGAGCCAGGTCTTTAGGCTCTTACGGAAAGCCATGAGAGAGGGCGCCTGTCTGATGTCAGCAGGGAGGGCGTTCCACAGCCGGGAACTTTAATCTAAGTTTCTTTTTTTTAACTGTTGAAATAATATGTAACTAACCCTGCTGGCTTTGGATGTTGTATCAATAATTCATGAATAAGAAGCAATCACTTGTACAAATGTTAATACTTGTGCATAAAACTAACACTTAACCCCAAACAGAGTATCAGTATAGACTTGGAAAGTAAATCACCTATATAGGCCCGCTGGTTAAACAGGCTTATTGGGGTTGGTGGTGAAAACTGGTTTTAGACAGTTTCTTAAACAGAATACTAAATATTACATAAATATTCCTCAATTCCTAATGTAGTTTTGCTGATGGGTAAAAAAACCCTTTTTATGTAGCACCCACGTCTAATCCTTGATATGTTGGTGCATTAAATATGATAAATATTATACTGGGAACAGTGTCCTGGAGAAAGAGAGAGGAAACAAGACACTAAAGCAGTGGTTCCTAACCTTTTATTGACCAGGGACCACTCTCCAAAATTAGTACCAAAAGGATTACGAATCAGTTTTTCATCAATTTTAGGTTTGGTTTGATTATTTGGGTGCAGATTCAGAAAACTGCATTAGATAGACCACGTCAGCTCTAGTTTCTGATACAGAACATATGCCATCCAGTAGTTGCCATCTGCTCACCCACAGAAAACTAAATTCAATGATCTAGAGCTGATGTGGTAGTAGTAATCTTTCGTGGGTAGTCGGCCTCACCCCTCCTGACATTCCCGTTGCCTCGGCACTATAAGAGGGTTTTGTGAGACCAGACACTCTTGTTGCCATGTGATTTTTAGGCAACGGTGTAGAGGCCGTGGACCGTATTTTACTGGTGGTCTACGGACCACAGGTTGGGAACCACTGCACTAAAGGCACTAGAAAACAACATACATACATACATACATACATACAAACATGTAAACAGTAAATATACAACACCCCCAAAATAGCATGTATTTGCTTTTCATATGATTTGCTACCAGAGGCCAGCATAAACTCCAAAACTAGTCTAGCCAAAATACATGCTTACACATTCCAGGTTCTTAATTCTAAAAAGAAAAGGAAACTGACAGCTACATTTACTACAGTTCTCTAATAGTAACAGAACATAAATCTCTTTTTCCTCCCTCTTTCAATAAATGTTCTTGTGAAAGTATTTTCTGATAGTGCAATCCAAGAAAAAGAAAACGTCTACTGTTTTCAAGCTATACCAAAAACCAAAAACTACTGAAGGCCTGAGATTATTTCTCCCCTTACTCTGAAGGAGGAGAATAATTTACTTCCTATAGCAAACACAAAAAGCTGGATCCTGAGAATTGTGAGTGGGAAGAAGCTTTCACACAAGGAATTTCCTCTCATCTCTGTGCTGTAGCCCTCGGTACACCTTGAGAAGGTTAAACAGTGTGAATGGGATATGGGAACTGCTTTAGGAATAGGAATCTGCTCCACATGCATCAAGCACTTTTGTGTGATTTTGAACAACTGCCTGCTGCTTCACAGGATCTATGGGACCCATTCCAAACTGCTCAGCAGGGTCCCATAATCCTCTGAAGAGGCTCCTCTGTGAAGCACAGAGATGCAAGATATTGGTTAAGAAGACACAGTTCTGTATACTGATGGTTAGCTAACATTTTCATTCCAGCGAGTAAACTTCGAAGTGTCTTCTATTTTAACAGTTTCATGCTAGCAAAAAGTTCTACATTTTATCTAAATCAACTCACAACAGTAACTTCTCATCAAAATCCATTGTCTTAAAAAAAAGATTCCATACATCAATGTTGCAAATTATTGTACAGAAATCAGTTATTTAATTCTCCATACTTAATATACACACGATTGCACAAACTGAAGAAACTACACGCTAATTGCTGAATGGCCCAAGCAATCTTATTTTTTTATTATTATTATTTTACTGACACAAAAACACAGTATGTCACAACAAACCAGATATATATGTTGGATTTCGCATCACAAACTCACAAGTCAAACACTTCCCAAGCGTGTTCGACTTGTGATTTTGTGATATGAAATCCAGGATATATATCTCGTTTGCTGTGACATACTGTGTTTTTGTGTCAGTAAAATAATAATAATAAAATAAGATTGCTTGGGCAATTATTATTACTATTAGTCTCCACAAAGAGACTCATACCTTTTGCAGATATTATCTACTACGGACTTGTAATACAAAATGGGTCTATTTTTTTAAACAAATTAACAGAACAAAGCCACAAACACACACACACACACACACACAAAACTATCACAAACACACATAAAACTAACTGCTCTTGTTCCAGAAGTAGTAAAACGACAGAGGGCAGAAAAAACCCACAACATTTTTTTATCAAGTTCAGCAATGCTCACGGTTTCTGACCCTGAGTTTAAGTATATTATAGTTTTAGTTTCAAGTTCAAGTTTTTTCAATGCTTAGACCATAAGCCTTTTACATATAAGGCAAATAGATAAATACATGAAAACCAGATTATTAAATACAATACAAAATCATCTTCCTCTACAGACAATAAATGTATAAGTATTTTATGAGTGGATGATTAAAAAAGTAAATGTTTCCCATGTTTATTCCCACCCCACAAGAAAAAAACAGTAAGAGAAACTATACTTACTACTGCGCACAATCGATCAACTGATACTCATTAGATCTCTCATAGCAAGCTTTCACACCTTCATCTTGCCAAAGTGTTTTTGTATGTTCATAGAACTCCTAAAAAAGATAACAAGGAGGGAATAAATAACAAGGGAAAATGTACAGGAAAAGAAAACAAAAAGAGCACCAAGCTTTTACATAACAAACAACAAATTAAATGATATAGTTCTTCAGAAATTTCAATTGCAATTGGGTTCCTGAGCTAGCCAACAATCTGGACCTCCGGTTAATTAGGTTCAATAAATATGTCAAAAGAGGTACAATAAAAAGGATTAAAATCTTTTGTGAAGTCTCAAGAAAATTGATACTTTCCCATCAATACGGCAATGTGTTCTGAGAAAACAGAAACTGTATGTAAAGCTGCTATGCGTCCCACAACTAGGAGTAACACATAATGCAGAGACATGGGAAAAGGCCCCTTCTCTGCTTTGACACCCTAATTGTGGAATTCTCTCCTCTTGGATACCTGATGGGCATTAATGGTGACTTATTTTTGGCTCCAAGTTAAAAAGTCTTTGGCTGTAAAATTTCAGCTAAGACCTCAGTTTAAGAAGGTTTCCATATTTTTAGCTTACTTGCAACTGTTTTATAGATATTAGTCTGTATTAACACACTTTTTACTGCTTATGTTTTAGGAAAAAACATAACATTTGACTACTAAATCCAACTGAACAAAATCGTCTTATCCTCTCAAAATGTTGACATATTTTACTCAACTGAAACTGATTTGTATCTGTTTGAATGCACCAATTACTTGGTTGCAAAAAGCCAGTCAGCATCTTCATGTATGTTAATCATAGGACCCTTCCAGACAAGCCAAAATCCCGAGAGAAACTGGGATTTTCAATCCCAGTTCCTCTCGAGATCGAAGTCACACAGTTGGCCCAAACCCTGGGATTTTGCAGGGGAGGTGACTAGATGCTCTCCTGTGCTGATCCAAGATTGGCACAGGTGAGCAGAGGCTTCATTTCCTGCCCTCAATTTTCCCCACAACTTACTGAAGGAAGACTCCAACAAGGCCTGAAGCCTTTTTCCCTCTCCCTTCTCTCGGAAGAACCAAAAAAAGTCTTTGAAGAGGGGGGGATTCCCCCTCCAAGGCTCTCTGTTGCTGTCCGAGGGAGAAAGGAAAAGGCTTGAGGCCTTGTTAGAGTCTCCCTCTGGTAAATTGAGGGGTAAATGGAGAGCAGGGGGGCAAGGATGGCAATGCCACCCCTCTTCTCCAGGTTGCCTGAGCCTGGAGAGGAAGGATTGCTGTGGAAATAGACACTGGGGTCACAGAAGATAATCCCAGGAGTCTGCTTCCACTTGCCCTATACATCCAAAAATCTGGGCCTTCAAGGAAGGTCCGGATCTTTAGAGGTATTTTTAAAACCTGGATTAAACCGAGTTACTCAAGTTTTAAATGGATTAGCCTGAAACGTCATCATCTGGACACCTCAGGCTAATCTGTTTCCCAGTAGAAAAAGGCATGGTTTCACTGATTTTCACTCCATTTTCCCCGTCTTTCCCGGAATTATTCACATTTACCTGATTTTCCAGAAAGTGGCAATCCCAACATGGTTGCTAATATTTCAACATATAACAGTGATTTTCTATATTTTAATTAACACCTTTTCTATATTTGTCATGCAAATCATTTTTGTTGGGATGATAACAATAACAATGGAAGTGAAGTACATGAAACTTCTGACAATCAAATGTCATTAATCTTGAATTAAACGTTGTTTAAATACAGGACAGAACATATAGAACAATATAGAAAAATTGATTATCAACCTGAACAATAAGGAATTTTGAGAAAGCATTTTGAAACTATTAAAGAGACTACCCCAGGAGCAGTTTATGGTACTGAGTAAGAATTCCATAACATAAACCTGCATTTATTTGTTTTAAAATCCAATACAACAAAATCCAAGTGCACACAGTTGTGATATATCTTCTTTAGTATAATGAAAAGGCACAAAATATATTATGCAAGCTTTTGAAACAAACTGGCTTCTATCTTACTCAAATGATGTTACAAAATTCTGTCTGAAGAAGCAAGATCTGCTGTAAATATAAAACTCAGCTTTGATTGTCCTTTTTAAAATGAGATAAATGATGTAATTAAACTTCCCGGTAACTATCTTGTGCTGCTTGTTGTCAGTTATTCCACTTTTGCATCTTAAAAGAGCAGCACTGTGGCCTCAGAAAGTCACACTATACCAATTAGTCTGAAAAGTACTGCTAAATTAAGATTAAATATAAAATCTCCTGTCATCTTACCCTACCAGTTGCATAAGGTGTGGTATGCGGCAAGATCAAAACTCCTGTTATTTATTCAACCAATTAATTATTTAAATGCAAACTTTTCAGGTCTTAAATTGATCTCTGTATAATGGGATGTGTTTTCAAGCAGCATTCCCTCTCTAGAAGTAATAAAACACATGAGGACAAAAGGATAAAGCATAAAGATGATGCCCTGAGGCACGGAAGGAAGAATCATGTGGAGTGTGAACCACAGAGTTAAAGCTATAGCTAACAAGTTAGATCAGTTTAGAGTCTACTTTTCTTGATGTCAACATCTTCTAAACTGGACTATACCCCAGGAGCAGTTCTGCTATCTTTCTAATGTGGTTATTAACTTTCCACGTGAAATGAGAAAAGGTTGTTAAGTCCATACTCTTTGAACTTCTTGACTAAGATCCCCAAAAGTAACTACAAGTTGGTGATATACAAATATCTGAGATACTCACTGCATGAATTATGTTTTCAATTGGCAATTTTCCAACCCAAATGACTTCCACTCTCAAAGAAGATAATACAAATTATTTGAATGTAATGAGTGAAAATTGTGGTTCCACATTAGTTACAAATTCTTCAGTTAGAAAATTACAATTCAGTCAAAATCTAGGTGGTCTTTTTCACTTACAATAATGTATTCCCCCCAAAGAATTTTAGTTTACAACATAGAAATTTTAGTAACAAGTCTAGAAATGTAACAAAATAAAACCAAAAAACCTGGATTGACTTATCCATAGGCCAATGTAAGTCATTTAATTCTTATCAAAAAGAGTCTCCCCTTGTCTGAGTAGAGTGGCAAAAGACAAGAGCCTGGTCCATTCTAGAAGAACCTAAAAGAGACATCTGCCCCCTCTATGTTCTCTGCTATGACACTGCTTTTGGCCTTTACAAATGCCAGGGCAAAAAAATGGAGGCAGTGACAGGAAATAGTGACTGGTTTCCTGAGGTGGTGCTGGTGCTTTACCCTCTATGCAGAATGACTACCAAAATCCATAATTTTTGCCCCCAAGCCTGCCTCTGAGTTATACACATTAGGTTAACATCTGCACAAGAATATATAGTAATTACTATAATTTAAATAGAAGGAATTTTTTGATCATGTGACTTGAGTATGCAGTCTGTAGTCCAGCTATTGACTGTTAATGAACAACTTTAAGACCCCATCATCCCCATCTCAGGTTTATATTTAAAGGAGAACTGAAATTAGCTACAAAACAGAACACCTAATAGAGGAGTGTACTAAAAAACCCTTTGAATAGAAGACAGGGTTCTATAAAGTAGGAAGTAGTTGGCTAAGAAGCCATTTGGCTCCTGCAAGGCATTGATGAGTCTCTTCATAAGACTACAAACTAAAGCTTACTCTCTTCTAGCTTCGATTTCAATGTGTCACTGCTGCAGTGATCAACACTCACTGTTTAACTGCTACTGCCATCCCCTTAAGCCATTAATAGCAAGGAGATTGACATCTAGCTATTTCCCCATAGCCAGTCACAGATTGATGACATCATCCCCTAAGATTCACTGATGTCCCTGAGAGGTCTCAAGGGTTGATGTACTCATTATGCCTGTGGCTAAATTTCTATGGCCAGATAATTCTCTGTTCTCCTTGCTCTCTGCGGATTGGGGGGGGGGGGGGTAATAAAAAGAAAATGCTGAATCAGAGAAGTGGCCTTCGGTTAATGTGGAGGAAGGCAAAAAATACCAAGCTCTGAAATAGCAATTTAACAAGATACATGCAGGCATATATTTAATGTAAGCTTGTATATGTCACTAACAGGATGCTAGCGGTTGTCTTTTTCATATAGTGGGGTAGGAATTGTATGGTTCCCAGGAACAGTTGAAATGCAACTCTCAATAGCCCTAGCCAGCATAACTAACGGTGACAAATGTTGGGAGTTGCACAATTAGAGTGCTGCATAGCTCCCACCTCTCTCTCTCTCTCTTTCTCTCTCTCTCTCTCTGTGTAAAGGGATTCGAAAGGATATCTGAGGAAAAATACCCAAGCTGTTTTATTTGCGTCACTCCAATATCCTTGAAGTGAAAGATTAAGAAAAATGAATTACAATAGTAATACAGAGATGTGGATTTTTCAAACTAGGCAGATCATCAATCAAAGCCAGAAATTTTCTGGATTTTACTTTGACCAAGGGCTTGCAAACAACATGTATGAAAGCTATTAAGAAGCTGAAGGAGCAGCTATTTCTGCAATCTGTTGGATCACATCTCAATTCTCTCAAGGGCTCACTATCCACTCAGAACTACTGGAGTTCTTCAGAAAACAGATATGAAGAATAAGGAAGGAAGCTGGAGGAATTCCTTGTTTCTTTGGTCTGCTAAAAGAATGCTTTAAAAACAATGGTAATGGCACTATAGGGCTAAAATAGGGCTCCCTAGCTAGCCATAACAACTGTCAGAGCCAACAGCTATTACTATTACCTAAAAATGCAACTCCTGGTTCACAGGCTAATATAGTTATCTTTCTGAAATGTCATAGAAAACCAACAACTCAGATAAAAACATCATTAAATATGACCAGTAGAGGGTGCAAAGAATGAAAAAAATAGAGGAAAATATTTTGTTCCTAACGTAAATTAACATTTTTGAAGCCTAAAGCCTCTTATATTGGGCCAATATCTCGCCAATTTCACACACTGTTCGAAGAATGGGCTCATCACACCACCATAGTTTAGATCAGTGGTTCTCAACCTGGGGTCCCCAAATGTTTTTGGACTACAACTCCCAGAAATCCTAGCCAATTTACCAGCTGTTAGGAT